GTTCAGCAGTGATTCAGAAACATTATAGTGAGAAAGCTATTGCAATAAGTTTGAATGTTTATCCCCATTTCTGATGTGCCCTTATCAAACTGGATCTAACCAGTGTTTTCCTCTCGGCTCCAGTATCTCACGAGGCTTAATAAGAGAAAGTAGGTCAGTGGCCTCAGAGAAACCAAACATTTGCTGGGTCTCGTGGCTTCATTACAGCCGGCGGAGTTGGGGAAGGGTGTTAATTTAACAGAGTTTGTATAAAGAGAGAGGGAGGGAGCGAGAGCTGAGATTTACTAAAAATACAGAGCAGTGTGAGCAACCGTGTGGTTTTTTTCATTTGCCAGCCAAAACAAAAACCAAAACCAGCTCCATGTCAGAGAAACTTCTTGTTCAATCCCAAAGTAGTGTTTTCTTTTTTTCATACTTTTTAGTCCTTAAAAAGGGATCTGAACTTCAGATATCTGTAAGAAATGAAAAAGTATGAATGCTTAGGAATATACAGTGTAGTTCCAGCTCAGATTTACCAAGGTTGGCACACATCTGTGGATAGTGGGAGTTGAGCCAGAGTTTCATTTTTCCTGTCCAGGAAATGTGCCTTGGTCTTACTCTTCAAGTACTGATTATTGTTCTGCATCATCATAAATCAAACAAAATATTTGTTAGATGTTTCCATTTGAAAGACCCATAGCACTGAGACCATCAAATATGAGAAACCAGTGAGGTCCAGGATGACTGCATAAATGTTTGAATAACTTTTGTGTGTTATGTGTGTGGTTGTATTTGTCAATGTTTCTGTTCTCGCCAGGTCTGCACGTTAACGAAGGAAGACAACCGGAGAGTGGGGGTGATTCCAAGCGATGAACAGCTCCATGTGTTGCCTCTTTACAAAATTTCACAAACAGATGAATTCGGCACAGAGGAGGGACTAGAAGCTAAGATAAAAGCCGGAGCCATACAGGTGCTCACAGCTTTTCCCAGAGAAGTACGAATGTTAGCGGAGCCTCTCAGAGCTACAAAGAAAAAGAAACCAGACACAAGGAGAACCACGACTGACAAGCAGCCATTAATAGATAAAAAATACTCGGTGCCAGTAAAGGTGAAGACTGAAGCCCCAGAAAATCTTGGCAACACTTTGCATTGTTTAGGTGAGTGGTGCTTATTAAACTCTGCCAGTCTCTTCGGATACTGTGTTGCCTCTCACCTGTTGGAAGGGAAAGAAAAGCCCCTTAATATTCAGTTTTATGAAATACTTGTACAGCCTGCATTTTAGGAACTAATGAGCAAGTCCTTGTAGTCAATGTTCTCTTGGCCCAGGAAAAATAAAAGGCCATCCCCCAAAAATAAGTTGTTGGTGGTGAGTTAGCACCAATGAAATATTTCCAACTTCCCTTATTCTGATAAATACTGGCAGTAGGATCATCTTGAAATACTGCTGTAGGAATGTTTATCTAAATAGCAGACATGAGTTTCTGTCGTTTGAAAGTACAGCTGTGGTATCCACTTCATATGCAAGACAGTAGCTTTCTCGGAATCTGTGTTGATGATCATTTCCTACCAAGGGCATGGGTGCTAGTGCAAAGTAGGAAGTTTGCAGAACATCCCCTGGTTTTATCTGGTAAGACAGTGCTGCTCCAATTGTTCCTTGAAGCATTATTAGCAAGGGCCGGAGCAGTGGAATCTGCCAGCAGCTGGGTAAGAGGTACGTCACGTTTCTTCTGTTACAAGATCACTATGGCTGGAGTCACCTGCGACCGTAGGTGTTTGTGCAGCGGGGAATCGTGACGTGACTGAGCTGCGTGGAGGCGCTTTTGATTGATGTTCTGCCCGGGGTTAGATTTCAGACCAGTACCTGAGAGGACATCTCTGTTCTATGGGACTTGCAGCAATGAGAAGCACAAAAGAAGGAAGAGGTGCAGGAACCTATGGGCTTTGATTCTGTGATCTGAAAGGGATTAAAGCACAGCCTATCTGGCTTTTATCTGGTGTAAACTTGAATTTTCTTTCAGGAGAGATGTACAGATATATGTAGTAGATTTAAGAGGAGTAACAATAGCTAAATGTCATTAGAAGAACATCTGCATTTTGGCAGGGCGACATTTTAAAAAATAAACAATTGGCACATTTTCCTAATCTGCCCTCAGCGCCCTGCTTTGTCTCAGTAGAGCAGTCAGGGCAACCAGTTGGATGTAGTGAGCTATGGGGTATGTCCCGGGTTTGCTGGGACAGGGTTTTTTTCTTTATAGTAGCTAGTGAGAGGATTTTTTGTGTGTTTTTGCTAGGACTGATACTTATAAAATGCCAGAATTTACTTTTTCTCAAGGTTTATTTTTCAGTCTTTTGTCTGTCCCTGTGGTTATAGTTCCGTCTGGTTTTGTTGTTGGTTTTGTCTTCTCTCTGCATGAGAGGATGGGTGGGGAAGTGAAAACCTGGGATTCTCTGGGACAGGTGACCCAGGACAAGAAAAGCAGTGTCATGGACACCCCTAGGAAATCAGACAGACATGCAGTTCATCTGCCTGCCAAGTCTGGGAGACATAGTGCAGGCTTTGAAACACAGCTGCAAGGACTCCAACAGTATCTCCAAAGGGATGACTGATAACTTCCATTGCGCTCGGGCTGGACTGGAAGTCCTGGAAGCATTGGAGGGCTCTGGTTTGGGAAGGAATTCTGAAATTGTCTGATCTGACTGGAAAGTTGCTTTGAAACACTGAAATAGTTACAGACCACCTGCCTGTACATGACATTGTCCTGACAGATAGGCATGGCTTCGATCTCCGAGAACAAAATGGTTTAACAAATGGTATGATATCCAGTTTTGCCATATGCTTTGGGAACATGGAACTTTATTCCTTGAACCTGCGAATATAATCAAATAACTGTGTAAACAAGCCAATGTACATAATTTCTTTGGACTTGAAGTATTTTGGTAAAGGGATTTAAAAGGGCTGCTGATAAAAATAAGTCACAGAATGAGGAAGAAATACTTTCATGAGTGAGAAAGTTGTTCCGAAATGGAAAAATAAGAATGTGAATAGAAATATTTTGTTTCTATCATAACAGTGCAGGTTTTATCATGGAAGTCTTGACAGTAGAATCCCTCAGAATAGATATCAACGCTATAACCACCAGATCTGCGACAGCACTTATTGCTGGAGTTGGCCACTGGAACAATTTCACAGAGGCTTTGCTAACGGGGCAGCAGTGGCAGAGGAGGTGCAGGTTTGCAAAGGGCAAGGTGTTGTGCTCTGCATGAAATAAATAACATGAAGCATTTATGCACAGCATCGAGTGTCTGCTGTGGTCACACAGGACGATGGCTGGGTGCCACTGTAAAGACCTCAGCACGCCACTGCTGCCCTGCCCCTGCCCCTGCCCCACCGTAAAATGCAAAGGTCTGTAACTTAGGGAGTTACAACACTATGGTATTATAATTGTACGTACAGTTTCTTGCAGTTATAGAGGAGGAGTCACTGACTCGTTCTTTCCATTCTGTCAGTGGCGCAGGTATCATTTTAGTCCTAAGGAATGGAAAATTGTAGTCTAGCTGAGATCACTGACTCGTTCTTTCCATTCTGTCAGTGGTGCAGGTATCATTTTAGTCCTAAGTTGTTAAGCTCAATATGAAAACAAAATCAAATGGCCTGAGAGACAGAGGAGTTGAAACCAGACTATCCAGTAGTCAATCCCGATGGTGAACTAGAAGAAACAACTGATTATTTAAATCAGGATCCCTTCATACTAATGGTGGTGTTCAATTCTGATCACACCATTTAAACATAAACCAAAAGACAAAGGCTTGAAAAACAGGGGAAAAAAGATAGAAAAATTTACTAGGAGAAGAAAAAAACATATAAACCAAAAGACAAAGGCTTGAAAAACAGGAAAAAAAAAGATAGAAAAATTTACCAGGAGAAGAAAAAAACACTGACTACAGTTTTAGGTAAGCAGTGAATAAAGCACTGCTAAAGGTACATTAAGCAAGTCAGATACTACTATTACATTTTCCCCTAATGTAAGAACAAAAGAATACTTAGCTACATTTCAACGTAAAGGAAAAGCTATTGGTAAATGGTGTATGTAATGTATAGGACTCAATTTATTGACGAGGACAGGAGTTTAGAATATGGGTTTTGCTTTATAAATACTGAAAAGGAAATGGAGAACGTGCAATGAGATGAGATGAGATAACCATGGTATATCCTGTCAGTCATGTTTTCAGCCATGTGGGACTGCAGCTCTTTGGAGTAGCCTGGAAAATCATGAAGGAGACACGAAGCTGCCTGTGCCATGTGGCCCATTACGTGGAGCTTGAGAGACTCCTCTAGCCTGGAAATTAGTGGGTTGGCCAAAGAGTAATTGCAGGTTTTTTACTAGATGGACATGCACGTCTTGACATGTAACCAACTTCGTTTTCAACCCAAATTCATGATGCAACCTGACAGCTGACAGTTCAGGCTTGTTTTAGAAAAAGAAAATGCATGATTTCATCAACATTTATTTGGCATCAGTTTCAAAATGGAAAATAAAAAGGAACATTGTCGTCGTATTTTGCTGCATTGCTTTCAAAAAGGAAAAAGCACTGTGCAAGCTCATAAACAGTTGTGTGATGTGTATGGTGAAGGTGGCTTAAAACTACGGCAGTGTCAGAAGTGGCTTGCTGAATTTTGGTTTGGAGATGTTGATGTTAAAGATGCACCTTGGTCTGGGGTGAGTGAAATGCTTTGAGTTGGACTTCATAGCAAAGGTTTTAAAGAGTTGATGTGGTTTCCTTATGCCCTCTAGAACTTCAGTATTTGCATACTAACGATGATGTCCATAATTTATACCACTTTGCCTTTTTGCCGCCCTGTTGAAAGAATGTTTTTTAATCCATCATTATTTATAAATTATTAGAAGCCAGAGAGAAGAAAGAATAGATCTTCTGTATTCAGTAAAGTAATTAAACATTCTGTGCATTTATGGATCAAAGAAGAAAGTGACAGAGATGGTCTGTGATGAGAATAGGCAAGAGCTCGCTGTGCAGTGCCGCTTTGCCAGCAGAACACACATAAAGCAGTTTCAGGGCATGATGCAAAGCCCATCCAGGTCGATGGAATTCGGTCCCATTACTCAGTGGACTCTGGATTGAACTTATCCATGACGGGAATGAGTCACTGGAGGAGATTGGTCCACAGACCAGCACAATGCAGGGTGCTAGGACTAGGAATTGGTGAGGGAGCCGACATCATTTGAGCAGGTGTGTCTCCACAAAGATCTGAACTCATTAATGGGTGGCAGTGAGGTGGAAGACAGCCAGATCACTTGATGCAGCTTTGTGAGGATGGATTTACCTGGACTGGATTGCCAAATACCTTTTTAATTTTTCTTTTAAGAAAATTTCTGAGTAATTATTTGCTAATGCACAAGTCACTGTAATTCAGTAACGTTTTTGCTGCAGTGGACGAGATCTCTAAACATACTTTTTCCTTCAATCATCATACGGAATTAAGGCAGCCAAGAATTTTGATGGTTTCACAAGCTTGATTTCGGACAGACTGCATTTCCTTCTTTACCTCAAAAGTTGTACCCAGCGCTCCTGCTGGCCTCGGCAGTGCTGAAGGCCGGCAGGCAGCTGCTGGGAAGCACTTGTGTAGAATTGGGCTGTGTGAATTGGAACCAAGTGGTTATTTCATTTTATCTGTTTAGTTTATTCATCCTACCAAAAATCCTTTCTATTTGATACACCAGCAGTCTGACTGGAAAAGGTTAAGGGGTTATTTCAGGAAGGTTATTGTCTATGTACTTATGGTCATAGAGATATTCCTAAGAAGCTAAAAGTAACCATTCTGAAAATCTGCAGCCATCACGTATACCTTCCATATTAGAAAGCCAGCATGAAAATATTATAAAAGGTATATTTTATCAACTACGTGAGGAAAAGTACTTACACTTTTGTGTGCATTTCTTTTAGGGAACAAAACAGATGCTTTAAAACCTGGAATAAAAACGGAGCCTTCTGATCACCTCTATGCCATGAAACATACTTCAAACACTACTAAAAATTGCTCTTTATTAAAACAATACACGGCTTCCTCTCCTTTCAAGGTGGATGGTTTACAACCTTATTCATCTTTAGCACATAAGCCTGGCATAACAGCAGTGACTAATATTCAACAAGATTTTTCAGTTCCCTACGGGTATTTTGAATGCAGTAGTAAGCAACCTCACATGACACCTTACGTTAATTGTAAGAACTTTGACGTGTCAGTCAAAGATTATACTGGAATTTTGCTGAATGAGAAGATGAATGGTGTGCCACCGATTCTTCCAGAGGTCACTGCTCCAGGCCCCCCAGCCCATAAAGACCCCCTGCCCACGATACTTGAACATCAGCCAGACAAGCCGAATTGTCAGCTTCAGTCAGACAGTTCTTCTCCACAGATGATCAGCGCTTGTGATTTGTCAGCACCGCTGAGCTCTCCAGCAAAGGATGCAGTCGGAAACGAAGCCGACTGTTCCCATGGATGCCCGGCAGAAAGGGGCAGCTCCCATCAAGAACAGATGTGTGATTTTGACTGTGCTGACGAAAAGCCAAACAGTGCACTGGGACAACCGACTGATTCTGAAGAAAAAGCTGAGGAAATGTGGTCAGACAGCGAGCACAATTTTTTGGATGATGACATTGGCGGGGTTGCCGTGGCACCTTCTCATGGTTCTATCTTAATTGAATGTGCAAGACGTGAGCTCCACGCTACCACGCCTATTAAAAAACCCAACCGCAATCATCCCACAAGGATTTCTTTAGTTTTCTACCAACACAAAAATTTAAATGAGCCAAAACATGGTTTAGCCATGTGGGAAGCAAAGATGGCCGAGAGGGCAAAAGAAAAAGAAAAAGAAGCAGAAAGAATAGGAACAGAGAACACCGAACTGAACTCTAACAGCAGGAAAACAAAGCAAGCAAGTGACAACAGAGATATTTTTTACGAAGACAATGAGTTCAACCAAATTCCATCACGCAGAGCATTAACAGTAACTAAGGACAACGTAATCACAGTATCTTCGTATGCCCTTACACGAGTTGCAGGGCCTTACAACCATTGGGCATAGGTTTTGTATGAATGCCTCCTCTTGGTGCAGTGTTACAGTGTTTCTTTAAGGTGCTGTTAAAGAACAAGTCTGGTGTCGTTTACTATTTGCTCATCTCAACCATTTTAAGGCTGAGGTAAAAAAAGCGGGGGGAATTCTTCTTAAACTGTGACTTTAACATTTGGTGGTGCTCAAGCACATTTTAAGCAAAAAAAAAAAACAAAAGTTGTATAGTTTTAATACACTCTAAAAAAGATTTTGTTTAGGTTATTAACCTTGATTGAATCATTCAGTTTATTACCTTTAGGAATTTATATTTTGGTGCTTTAAATCAAGTCTGTTTACTACAAAAATCATTTGTAGGGATTTTAACAGGTTCACATTTTATGGTGTTCAATCAAGTTATACAGTAAAAGCTCTACACAGCTCTTGGTGCTTAACCACATCAACAGTTAAAAATAAATAAGCTGAATTATTACTTCATGGTGCCATTGCTTTAACAACTTCCAACCATTGCTATGTAGTCCAAATTACAGATAAATCTTGTAGAAAACCAATGAATTTTTTTTTTTCTCTAGATTTGTCCTTATGTATAAAACGAAGTTATTGGTAATGATGGCTGGAAGTTGTTTTTAAGCTGTAAATATATATTTTAAAAGCACTTTCTATTTTTAAAATTAACTTGAAATAGTATAGTATAAGGATCATATTGTCTAAGGTTTGTGCATACTCTACAGAAGAAATCATTTTATTCTTGCTGTGTAGAGTTCCGTATTGTTACAGCTGCAGTATGTGTGCTAACAGCATATGCGATCGTTTTTAGACTTGCCCTTTTTCATCAGAGATTTTATGTTGCATATAAACAGCAGTTATACAGAAACATTTCATTATCTTCAGGAGAGCGTACAAACGTGGAATTGGGAGACGTCAACGTGTGTGTTGCTATTGGGAGTTAGGAATATCATTTGGGTTTTTTCAAAGGCAGCATTTGTTACGATTTCTTTGAGCAATAAGTGCATAAGTCTTTTTCATTTGGAGCGTTATAAGTTAACATGACAGCCAAATGTTCCTAATGCCTCAGGGGTAGGATTGTTTCGGGATTAAAAAGTACCCCCTAGAGTTGCCTTATTCTGTTCTGGAAAAAAAAAAATTAAAATAATTTGGGGAAAATACAAAGGAAGGTTTGGAAAAGTATGAAATTTCTAATATTTAACAGCCAGTTTTTCATTGAGAATAACCCATCTGTAATATTGACCAGCTTTCTAAGTTCAGTTTTCTTACAAAAATGTTCTGTACATGTACATGATCTATACATTTTCTGTAGAAAGGGTTGTAATCTTCCTTCCGTTCTCGATTTTGGTTGAAAAAGTGACATATCATGAGATTGCTATTTGCTAAACCAGAGGAAAAACAGACACTCCATTGCTTTTAAATACTGTAGCATCCCACTCTTCTTTCTGATTCTCCTCTCCTGTGTATTTCTTTCTAAAACTTATTTATTTAAACAAATTACCAAATGACAACGTTAGCTAAGGACCAACCTCATCCTGCAACTTCTTCCATGAGAACAGCTCTGCACAGCCATACCTGCCCGGTCAGAGCCACGACCGCTCCAGCCAGGACTCCTCTGGTGACCGAGAGCTGCAGGATCAGGCCCCAGATACGAAGCCGTATCCTAATTCTGCCTCGGAGTCCTCCCCGGCCAGGGAACCGCTGTCTACGAGGTCAGAGTTTTCCAGTGCGAAAATATACTAATAATATACTTGATAATATTATAATATAGTGGTGCTGTAACAGAGGAATATGAACTATCTACATCTGCTTTATTTAAAATGTAGACAAGGTGCTTTTTCCTTGAAAAGTTGAACTGTAAGCGGTATATTTACAGTTTCGGTACGAAAAGTGCATAAATCGTATTTTTAACATAGTGCCAGTTAGGACCTTGGTGCTGCAAACACCGCAGTGCGGCTGCAGGTCGGTGGGACTGCTCTCCTGCGTACCTGCCTCCGCGTGCGGTGTTTGCAGGAGCAAGGTCTGAGGTAGCAATCGCTATGTAACGACCCTGGGTTCGATTCTGCAGATTCCTGTCAGAACTAACAGCAGTGTGGATGGCAGCGGACGGCCAAATTGAACCCGTTCTTTGTATCTTACCTATTTTAAGTGAAATTAGTAAAAACCGGGTATGCTGCAAATTTTAGTTCAAAGCTTAATATTAGTTCAAATAGAGGATATGAAGGGATTGTAAATAATAATAAAACAGAACCAATATTATGCCATTGTTTTGTACCAGCAATTTTATGCTTCTTGACTATGTAATATACGGTATACATCAAATCGTTATGGTATTTTGTGTGCCTTAGATTTCCATTTTAAACCTTGTATATTTTTGGTGAGCCGAAGATTAGTGAGAATTCCAGCTGTCCATACAGTGAGTAGTACTGTACGTTCTCTAGCTGTTCCAATCATGTGTTTGCTATCTGAAAACCCTTGTCCGACACCACCACCGATCATTTACAGACAAGATCAGTTTCTTGCTTTATTGGTTAGCGCTGATAGCTTTAGATTCTAGAATGCAAATTGACAAAAGAAGTTTTCATTCAGCGCTCCCATGTGAATAACAATTTTTCTACCTAAAATTAGTTACAGAGCCATCTCTTTACCTTTTAAAAGGTTCGGATCATTAAAGCAGATCATTTTTACTTGAATCTTGCCCTATGAATGCCCATGTTTAACTTATGTTGTGATTGGAAACTTGAAGATAAAAACGTTCCAGTGAAAAAACCAGCAGCTTCCCTCAGAGGAGTGAGAAACTGCAAGGTGAATCTAAAAGGATGCCTTCAGACACAGCCCCTGGCAAGTCACTGCTCAAGTGACCGTACCAACAGCCTTTCAGTAACTCCAGGTCTACCTTTTTTTGAAATGGCGATTTTAACAGAGGAAAATACATCTTAACATAATAGTTAATGGTATTAACCGATAGGTGCTAAAACTCACAGTTACTACTTTATTAAGATTACCCACATGAGAAAAATGTATCATCTCTACAATAAAAGATCATTCGCGGTGCTCCTTCCCTGACTGTCTATCGTGTAACTACTTTTTCACCGTGTACCTAACAGGCAGGCTAGCTGGCCACTTTTATTTCCTCCTGTGACACACGGTGGGTCGTGATTTGAGAAGCTAATATTTTCTATTGCTGTACTGCGGCAGAGAAAACGCAACTATTTACTGTTTTTACAACTGTGTGCTATTTATTGTGACATTTCAGAATATTTATCAGTCTTGTACACGGATTATGTCATTTTGAGTAAGGTTATAATTTTGTAATGGTATTTGTCTCTTTAAAATTCGCAAATCTGTGGGTCTGTTGCTTTCCTTTGCAGCCCACACAACCACTTATCATTTGCTCTTAGCCCTTAACGAAGTCGTTCCAGGATGGCCAGATCAGGAGCTGAATCTGAAACTGGAGTAGCTGGCTAGGTCAGACCTGCGTATTTTACTTGGTTTCCAACAGCTGAGCGAAAAACCAGCAAATGGGTTCAGGTGTGGGCTGGGTGGTGGGGGGGGGTGGTTGTCTGTGCTCCTTTTTCACAGTACGCTAGCAAAAACCAGTGTGATCCAACATGGGACACCTCAGACTTCCCAGAAGAAACGTCTCTCATCCCTTTCTCCACTGGGTCCAGTACCACCACTTCCCTCCACTCCGGAGGGAAGGAGTGGTGCGTTCTGCAGGAGCCAGTTCTGTTTGACTCCCCGAGTCCCTGCTGGAGTTACTGCCGTGGTGCCCAATTACATAGGGAATTTTCCTCTTGCAGTTTCTCTGCGCTTACTGATTTGTAACATGCTGTTGTATTACAGAAAATAGAAAACAATATTCCTATAAATATTTTAGTCACAAGTTCCAAAAACCTTTTTTTAAGAACTTACAAATACTTGTGACTTTCTACCTGTAACAGTTGTATTCAGTTTTAGTGTTCTTTAAGTACTTTCTAAGCTAACTTTTACTTAGGAGTAACTGCCGTTTCAAGTCCTTCTCTTACCTATGACAGTGCTTCTCTATACTTAGAACATGAAATAGCTGTAGTATCTTAAGCAACATTTTATGTTAAGCATGAGTAAATGACAGCTTCTTAAGTACTTAAGATTATTTGTAGCGTACAACTGTTTCTGTTTGAGGGTTTTTGAAAGACCTTTTTAATATCATTGCAGTATTACACTAAATTTGGTGAGTTAAATTTGGGTCCTGTTTACGTTGCTGCAGCCCCATTGACTGCAATGTGCTCTGTCATCAAGCTTTCATGCAGTTTTCATATTTAGCTGGATGGATATGGGTAACAGTTGCCCAATGTCTGTGCCGACTCAGACCCTCGCAGCCCTACCACGGGGTTTTGCAAGGACAGATGGAGAGAGATGCAGAGTAAATGTTGTACTTCTGGTTAAACACAGAGATTTATATCCTTTGTGGCGTGAGAAGTGATCCGGGTCTGTAGAGAGACACAGCACCTTCACCTCAAGTTTCAGGTGTGCACGCAGGTCTGTTTCAGAGCAGCTTCAGGCTTATGCTCCTATCTGATAGGTTGTTCAATGAGAAAGATGTTACGGAAGCGTGCCAGTAAAACTGCATCCTCGTGGTTTTATATTTAAAAAGTAAGGTCAGTCTTGCCCTTTCACTTCCCATGAAATTTCTCTCATGTTGAACTAGCTCCTTTTATCAAGCAGTCATCAGCTTTGTAACCCATTTATATACATCATATATTAGTTTTCTCTTTTTTTTCCCCACAGAAATCCTGTCATTTCTAGGTTAACAGGAGGAAATAACTGTGCTCTCAGATACACGAAAACCTAAATTGCATCTCCACTTCTACACTTCTTCCACGTAACACCAATTGCATTCAGGCAGCACTGAAAAAACTCTCAGGTCTATTGTGGTCACTGAAGTTCAGATTGGTTTCTTTGTGACGTTATCTTCCATAAAACTGTGTTTTATTCTTGCGCGAAAGGTGTCTGCCCAACTGTGACCA